TATTAATTTGATGATGATATTACTTTGCCAGCGAAACTAACTTTCAAATGTCATAACTCAGAAAGTTCTTATGAAGAAAAGGTTGGTAATTAATTCTGAAAACGTCTCAACGTCAGCTATAAAGATACATTATAAAAAATAGAAAGAAATTACGTTCAAGATTTTTGTGTTAACTTTGAAAGTCAAATTAATATCATCATCTGATAACTTTTTAATACCCTATTACTTTTATTTCAAACATTTTTTTAGCTAAATCAATATTTTTTTTAGATAAATCAATATTTTTTAGATAAATCAATATCTTTTGAGATGTTAATCGTTCTAAAACTTTTACCATGCACTATAACACTAAATTTCTTAGAAATCCTATGAAATTCTTATGATCTCGCCATTTTCCTTAATGTACATCTTATATTGTCAACTTTTACTGATATCAAGGATTTTATTATTTTTATCATTAACTTATTGTACAAACCGAAATAATTTTTTGCTTCAAGATGAAGAAATCTGCGGCTGAGGCTCATCGAATGCTCTCAAATATTTATGGTGAGGCCGCTATTAGTGAAAGAATGTGTCGTGAGTGGTTTCAACGCTTCAGGAACGGTAATTTTGACGTCCAAGGTCATGCTCTATTTGTATTTGTATTTGTGTATTTGGTGGGACCAGCTCGGCGTAGTGTATTATGAACTGTTAAAACCGACTGAAACAATCACAGGCGATCGGTATCGAACGCAATTGATGCGTTTGAGCCGAGCATTGAAAAACAAACGGCCGCAATACAACGAGAGACATGATAAAGTGATTTTACGACAATGCTCGACCCCATGTTACGAAAGTGGTCAAGACATACTTGGAAACGTTGAAATGGGAAGTCCATCCGCCGTATTCTCCAGACGTTGCTCCATCTGACTATCACTTGTTTCGATCAATGGCACACGGCCTGGCTGACCAGCACTTCCGATCTTATGAAGAAGTAAAAAATTGGATCGATTCGTGGATACCTTCAAAAGATGACCAGTTTTTTCGACGCGGGATTCGTCCGCTTCCCGAAAGATGGGAGAAAGTAGTGGTCAGCGATGGACAATACTTTGAATCATAAATGTATAACCAGTTTTTTACAATAAAACCTCGAATTTCGGAAAAAAACGGCGGAAGCAAAGTTGTACACCTATGTACATATATCACATATATAGTCATTTGAATTGCGCGTTGAATTGGTTTCTCGGGCTTATAAACGCAATTAAACTACTGTAGTAATATCACAAATTCAATTGACAAACAATGTAATATAATAATTTAATGCTCAATTATGCAACCTATTATTAGAAAAATATTAATTGAATAAATATATACTGAAAAATTATAAATAAATTTATTGAAAAATATTATCTCGGCCGGGAGTCGAATCTGGATCAATTTAATTAATTAACCTTTTAACTTTTTAACTTAACTTTTAACTTTTTAACTTAGCACTGCTACTTCTAGCAATCCTGCTTCTTTTTGGAAATGTCTTAAGTACAGTTTTAAGATGTCATAAGCCAATCGAAGAGCTGCACTAGCATCTCAAGATATTATCCAAATAGAACAAATTATGATAACGTCAAAATGACATTAAATAAATCGAAAATGATTGAAAAATAACTTTTAATCATTTTGAAGTCATTTTGATCTTATTTTGATTTGTTGTTCTGCTTGAGTCAGCCTTACAGAAAAAACAGATACTATGTATATCCCTCTATGTCGACAAAATTTACACTTCTCGGCCGATTTTCGATTTGACTCCGCCTTCTGCTATTCCTCTCACCTCTCGCCTTGCGCTTAGTCCAAATGCCGCTCGATGTTTAGGAACGTATGACGCTCGTAGACATGAAATCTGCTTTAGGTGCTCATAAGTGCTTTAGGTGCTTTAAACTTCATTCTATTTTTTTTTGCTCATTACATAACTAAAATGGAATGAAACATCGCGTAAGATTGAGCTTATGTTATTGCTTCATTCTATTTTATAATGAACGGAGAAAAAGATATAGAATGAAGTTTACAACATAAGCGCCCAAAGCGGGTGGACTTTATGTCTATGAACGTTATATATTCCTAAACGTTGAACATTTGGACTGGAGGGGAAGGCGGAACCAAGTCAAAAATCGGCCTACAAATGCAAATCTTGTCGAGCTCTGCTCTATGTATACGTGGTTTTTAAAAATAATATGTTACGTCCGGCCATCCATATTTTCGTAACATTCGCTGTTAATTCAAATTATTTGAACTATTTAGTTTTCTTTTTTCTTATAGAATACTGTCTTTGTTCACGATCTGTATGTGTTGCCGGCGCGAGCCGATGAAGCGCGGGACTCATGCCGCGCACTGTCGTACAAAAAGAAAGGCGACCGAAATTAAAAATGAAAAACAAATAAAGTAATTTAGTTGATAGTTCCATAACGTCATTAATGAAAAATTAATAAATTATCAAATAGAGCTTGATAAATCAAGCTTCTCATAAAGGAGGATCCATGATATAGAAGAATTTCTTAGAGATGAAATCTCTGAAATCCATAAATTCATTTAGAGTATGATGATCTATTGTCCATTACCAAATTTCCGTTTTCTATTGGTAAGGAAAGTTGAAAAATTCATGCTTTGAAGTTTTATCGAAGTGACAACGCTGTGACGAGAGAGGCAGTGAGAATGGAGAGAGAGAAAACCGCTGGCGATTCTGGAGGCCGCCTCTTAATTGTTGTCATGCTGTACAGAATAGCCTTATTCTTTACACCGTCGACATATATCATATTTTGTATTTCAGCCTCCAATTCAATCTTTGGATGACTCGTGAGACAAGACATGATACTCCTAACATGTTTCTTCAGTCTTTTAGGTTATCTTAGCTCTTTATGTATTTCGTGAGAACATTTCAACATTTTTTCCAAATTCTTAAACGCTTTCTTAAATGCATGATATGATTGTGCATGGCGTTCAAAATTAGCGAAAAGTTTTACAAAATCTCGCAATAATCTTTTAGCCTTCGATTAAACGATCTACCATTGGATATTCATCTATACAAATCAGCCATTTCTTCGAAAGATGCAAACCATGTTTTCACATTTTGTGTATCATCGCCACTAAAAGTTGAAAGGACATTTTCCATATCTTTGTCATATTATCTGCCTCATTTTCCGTCCGCCATGTCGATCATTGGTATCGCGAGGTGGTAACACTGCGCCTTGACTGTAGATAGACGTCGCTACTGTTTCTTCAACGCCGTTCATACTTTTTTGCGAAGGACTTTTAAACCCAACATTGGCAAATTGAGATCGCGTAATCTCTGCTTTAATCCTGTTCCTTCGATAGCGTTTCATGTTTTATTTCGATTCCTATGTTGCTCATCGTTCGCTCGCTTGCGCTTTGATCATCTCGGCCTTCCATCGATTTCGATAGACTTACTTAGTTCTGCGATCGTAGTCATTTATACAAATAAAAATGGATTAAAATGGATTAAAATTTTTTTTTAAATTGCTTTAAATCCAAATAATAGATTGAATAGATTGAAACGGATTGGATCTCATACTAGTTTAATATTCGAAAAAAAAAATTCATATTTAAGAGTTACAAATTTTATTCCTAAGACATTTATAATAATTATATCTGAAATTAACTATTTCAAATTGGTATTAAAAAACGCAAATTCATATTCTGAAAATCTGAATCCATTTTAATTTATTTCAATCCATTCTCGTTTGCTGGGAATACCGTCTTGCTGCCTATTGTTTGCAATCCAAGCTGTTCCAGTCTCACTCAGAAATATCGATGAATCTCTATCCTTCTCTTACGCACGCATATTCACAACAATAGAGATATTTCATTTCATCGTTGTTTGGTTCCCACTCACTATTATTATATATATCGGCTTCACTCCATAGAGATAGGTTGAGTCCATTTTAAGTCGGTCTATATGACCTTCTATGCAAAGGAGATTGGGAGAGGGAAGATAAGGAGCATTTTTGCATGGAGAATCCCTTAAGCAAGAGGAGAGATAGGCTGGATTCACATGAAAAATCGTGTGCGCCTCTTGGTGAAGGGACAAAATAGATTCTTCTTTGCGAAAGTCGTCTCTAGATAGGGGGAAAGATAAACCTCATTTTATGAAGATTGTATAGACGTATGATACTAAAATTACATTTTAAATATCTCAAATTTATAAGAGATCGCCACCTAATTGTTGGCAAAGTTTTTCAGAATAATGATTTTGACAACAAACAATTAAAATCGAGATCATCGGAGCTGTATTTCCGGTAGTAAATTATTACTAAGTTTATACACGGTCTCAAATTTAAATGGCCAAACATTTTTGTCTTTATTTATTACGTAATTATTTATTCACGTTGTCACTTAATACAAATATTATTCAAAATATTGGCTTCTTACAATAATGCATGTATTGCATCTTGTATGGAAAGTTCATGTTGCAGTCAAATATTGATCTGATCAACATAACGACTCGCCGATTCAGTACTATTCTATCTAGAAATCATGCATATCCTTGTCCTATCTTTGAAGCATTATTAAGGCTGAAGTCGTACACAAAAATAATATTTTTCTTTAAAAACAATAACATTTCAAAAATTAAATTTTGTCTGTTTCTGCGATTTTCTCCAAAACGAATCAAAAACGAACATATCTCTAAAGGATTTTTTTTCTCAATTTATTCATTCCTTACACTATCCCAAAGTTTAGTCGTTTAAATTTGAGAAACTCCGTATAATAGAATTATCCATTAATCTGAAAAAAGCACTCATTCTTTGTAAAACGCAAATCTAATTTATATAGAATTAAGCATAAAAAGAAACAACTTATCAAAATAAATCATAATTTAATCCACTTTTATTTCCAGTTGTATCTCATGCGGACGTACAATTGTCGAACAAACATATTCCCATCGATATCTTTGTTCGATGTAGGACCATATTTGCTGGAAATCGTCGAAAGTATTATAGGTTAGATGGACTTACCTGGCTTTCTGCGGGAACTCCAAAGCACTGGAGGATGTGCGGATGCGGCGATGGCAGAGGAGGGATTACCGCCGGAGGCAGCCAGCTTGACTGCGTTCCGCGAACCTGTAAATCAATCAGACAAACTTTTCAAGCTTTGTATTATTGCTTCTCCTTTTTTTATTTTTTTTCTTTTCTACGATGAGACTCGCAAATTGTATTTCAAATGGTACTATTTCATTTGTACGATTTTATTGACAAATGTGTACATGCAGAGATTCTCGGACCTCTCTATCATACAATCAATAAATAGGCTTAAATAATTTGTTGTACGACAAAAACGCACAAATGAAATAGCGGCCTTAAACCCACTAGTAAGAGAAGAAACAAAAGAAAGTGTTGCCATGTGACAACGCGATTGCATTATGTATTAACGTGAGATCCCAGGCTCGGCAGGACTCGCCATGACTCGTTACGGTTTGGAAAGCTTCTACGCGCCGTGGGACCAGGACGCGTCATAGCATTATTGCTTGAGATTTGTGGCTTGTGACACGTCATTTTCGAAGAATAGCGGTAAGTTCGTGAGCCAAAGAAGTCTTTGTAAATAGACAAACTGATAAGACATCATGCGCGACATTGGATTCATCAGTGATTCCGTTCAATGGGAATTTTGTAAATATTTTTTTGCTGATATAAAACTATAGAAGATCTGAAAGTGTATGTATATATATATATTGTATATGTATTCAATCAGAGTGAAATAAATTTTCAACAACAGCAAAACAAATATTCTGCATGTGATCAATGCTTGCAAAAAATCATTTCATATAAACGTTTTCACATTATCAGAAGACACGGTAGTGTCTAGGCTAAGCCGCAGTGACATTACCGTGTTTCTTTACGTGAGAGCGAGTTGCGGGGGATCAAGATTATTGAATCTTAATAACGGCTGAATTGATCAAGTTCTACATATGCTCAATCGAACTTTCTTGTGTAATAAAAGTGCTTTTACTTTTTTTTTTACGTGCCCTACAAGTAGAGATATTACGATGCAAAGTCTCGAGGTGAAACCTTTTAAGATACGTCGTTATTATTATGTTCATGTTCATTGTCCAATCCAAAAGAATGTAACGTTGGGCGTTTTAGCGCGAAAGTGTTAGTTGTCCAGAATATATTGTTCAACGTTTTAGCATGAGAGTGAGCTAGCGTACTGGTAGAGACTTGAGATGCAAGAAGCGCTACATAGCTGAGGGAGCGAAAAAGGGGAAGAATCATTCGGGAGTGGGAAAAGATCTTTCTCAATCCGAATTCCTCCGGATGCAAGACCACTGGATTTATGCCCCATCTGAAGAAATAGACGAATCGAAGCACCTTTCATCTGATGCAGGTGCTCTCCAGACATACTTGTTTTGGGAAGTTCCTGCATCGGATATGGAAAGAAAAGATACCCCATATGTCACCCCCATATGTCACCATTGTGACGCCGAAGTAGACACGGCGCTCTACACTTTGATGGAATACTCCGCCTGAGTGGAGGAGCGCCATATTCTGACCAATCGGACTTGTTTCTTTCATCATTAAGATGCTCGAGAGGGTAGAAAATCGGAATGAAATCTTCTCCTTCTGCATCTTGGATGCAGAAGGAACTAGACGAAAGAAAGAGGAGTTAAGTATCACCTTCGTAAGTTAGAGAGGAACGCGCGTTGGCTCTATTCCTCTCATAATGGAGAGGGGGGGGGGGGTGATACGCCATGATAATAGACAAACCTGGGGGAATCACCTCACCTCAATCCCCACCCCAAATCAAGTTCGTCCAAACTGCAGAGTTCTGACACTCCCGCGGTAGAGATAGTAAACATCGACCGCGGACAGTTCTGTAAATGTCACAACCAGGGGGAGAGTCCGATATATACCGCTGGTAATTCTCGGTCCCCTCTTCCTAATTGCTGCCAGAAAGCGCTAGTGGGATTTTTTAGTGGGTATGCGGCGATTGTGATGTTCCGCTCCGAGGGACATAAGGCGGACTGAATCTCACATTACCCCGGTTAAGTTGAACCCCGGGGATGTCTTCCCTTCTATGGTGAGATGACCTTCCTGTGGGAATTGTCTCTCCTTGCGAAATAAGATTTTTTTTCTACCAAAAAAAAAAGGGAAAATGCAAAAAGCGCTAGCGAAGCATGATAAACGAAAGTATCTGGTATATGTTAACCAAACTAAAAAGTAATAATAAAAAGCTTTATTCGTCACAGATCTATTCGTTTATAACAATACGTAAAAAAAAAAATGAATATGAAATTATACACTATGTTTGTTAACTAAACTAGAAGATAATAATGATGAAGCGATCTATTAGATCTTGATCATTATTTGCTTCTAATAAATTTAATATTTGACAAAAGAAGATCGGATGGAAACGAAATTATATATGCTGATATTTAACTAAGCTAGGAAATAATGATGAAAAATAATGAAATTCGTCATCGATTTCTATTTATTTGTAATTTAATTTTGTATTATATAAAATATTACAAATAATATTTAAAATCGAATGGAAACGAAAATATACATAAAAAAATTAATAAAACTGCATATTACCGATGATCTCACTGATTTCAAAGACCTTGATACATGTTGTCAAAGACATGACCCTGTGAATCATTTCCAATGAATTTTAACCGTCGCTTGTTAATCGTTAAAAAGTTATTAACAACAAAAGTTTAAAAAACGACTTTTTTCTGCTACAAGAAACAAAAATATTCTGTTTTAAATTATATTGTACGACTTTTCATACGAAGCGCTCAATTCCTCCTTCCTGCTGGGGGACACACGACTTTTACGCAACTTGACGAAATGGAGTGAAATTCACTTTGCATGGAAATCATGCCCCCCTAAGCAGAAGGGGAGATGGGGTGGGAGTCGCTTTGCGTGAAAGTCGTGCGCCTCTAAGTAGAAAGCGAGGTGGGATGAGAGTCGCTTCACATGGAAGTCTTGCGCTCCTCAGTAAGAGATAGGAGAAATTGATGTTACTTTACGTGACAGTCATGCACCTTCAAGCAGAAAAGTGAAGTGGAAGTCGCCCGCTCTTAAGCAGAAGAGGAGGTAGGATAAGAGTCATTTCATGTGGACAGTCATAAAATATACAAAATAAAAAATGAAATGAGAACGAAATAATTAACTGCCAAATGTCGTTCTACAACCCTATTTTTCTAATTTCTTCTAATTTCTTCTATAATCGAATAAAATCTATGTGTCCAATCCAAGTAATAGTAGTTTTAATTTTTCTACAAGCATATTCTTATTGAAGATCTCTTTATTCCAATTGAAGTAATTCGCAGTTTTTTAATCCAGTGTAAAAAATTATGCCTCAAAAAAAAAATTAATTTACCGAATAAAAAAATAAAACCCAAATGCTGTAGTTTTAACTAAGTTAACTAGCTAAGAGAGAACACTTAGGTTTTTCTTTTTAATTTCACAGAATTAAATTCTATCAAATTAAAAAGGAAAATTTATATAGTACTTACTAATCTCTAATGATATGCATAATGATATGTATAAAAGATTTGGTATCAACAATTGGCGCCAAATTAAATCCCATATCAAATTAAATAAAAAATATCTACAATTCAAGTGAT